AGTTTGTGCCGGGAGATTGCGGTATTAGTTTGTGCCGACAAATTTCAGTTATCAGTTACGTGACTTATGTCGCGAGATCAGACCGGTATCAGATATCAGTTCAGTTTCAGTTCAGTTATATATGCTTATTTCATGATATTGTTATTATTTACGATGTTTACATTAGTATGAGTTTCTGCGGAGCACAAGTGTTTTAGTGCTCACGCCCCCAAGCCTTTCATGTTTTTCAGGTCGCAGGGTCGGAGACGAGGAGTGAGCGGGCGAGCTGTTCAGGACATTTGTAATTATATGTATATATGTTTTTGCCACGCTTGAAAACCGCTAAAACTTTCAGTACTTATTATCAGTTTTTGTTCCGACAGTAGTCGGATAAGACAATATAACCGTTTTATTTATCAGTTTAAAATTTTAACTGTTTTCAGAAAAATCAAGTTTTTCACGGTAGCATCCCGAATCAGTTTTCGCAAAATAAGTATTTTATTTATTTATTTATTCAGAAAATTGCGAAAAATTGCGTACTCTGATATTATAAAAAGTCGGGGTGTTACAGGAGCAGCTGCGCGTAGTACTCGATCGATATCCCTACCCAATCCGAATTGACAACAACGGCACGAGCCTCATTTCCGGTTAATTCTTTTGCACAAGGTATATTGACTTATCTCAATTTTTTACATTGTTTTGAGTTGTTTGAAAATTGGGATTGTTATAGTATGTTTGAAAATTGTTTGAGAGAGAGAGAGAGAGAGAGAGAGAGAGAGAGAGAGAGAGAGAGAGAGAGAGAGAGAGGTGGTAGATCACGTGACAGAATTGGACGTGTGAGGGGATGTTGTGTGAGTCCTACCAGTTTATTATGAGAATGACTTAATTACCCTTAGTGAAGTATAATTTTGATTTTTTTTTAGTCATTAGATCATTTGATCTAATGACTACAATTTATTCTTATTTCTTTCATTGAGTACCTTTCTCACTGGAGCGTATCCCATATGTACTATATGTTATATATCATTACTATATGTTATATTATATGTACTATATGTTATATATTATATACTACATATCACATACTATATGTTATATATTATATGTACTATATGTTATATATTATATACTATATATAATATACTATATGTTATAGTATATGATATATGTTATATATTATATGTTATATATTATAACATATAGTATATATTAGTATATGATATATGTTATATAT